AGTTCGAGCCTTCGTTCGACATTTGTCGTACAACTTACTACGATGTTGTTACATAACAATTCCGCGTGACACGCGAGCCACCCGTCGACGTTCGTTTTGTGAGAAGTGAGATTTCCTGGCTGCTCTCCGAGAATCGAAACGTATAGTTTCGAACGTTCCGTTCAATGCCGCTTGATCATTTGAACGTCCCGTTTGGAGGTGTCGTTTGTTGCATTTATTTCTACGCGACACGAGAGGATAAGTAAGGAAAAAGGAAAATTGAACTTCGGCGCGAAGAATCTCGACTTCGACAGGAAAATAGAAGCGCAGCGATGGAAAATGCACGTGAGAGGATGTTCGACAATTGTGAAAACAGTGGCCAGCTGTACCAACGCGAGGTCCCAGAAATTAAACCTCGATGGCCATCAGTCATTTTCCGTTTTTCGTGCGAGCAAAGTGTAGATCATTAAGAAGGGTGAATTCTCACTGATGAATTTGACAGGCGTTACAGGTCTGTTTTTACAGAGAGTGCCTAAGGAAACATTTCAGTCCCTCGGGCAATTAATCAATCTTCTCCCACATCGAGGAAATCCTTGTTTGATCTTTGTTTCTTTTTTTTTCTCTCTCTCTCTTATCGTGACAGACTTGCTCTTGGAACTTGCTCTGCTACGCTTCGATCAAAATTCATCGATACCTCCTTTGAATTCTACTACAGTCGAAAGATACTTGTTGCAATAAATTCATTTCTCACTTCATTAGGTTCTCACATTCGGGTCGAAACGATCGAGGACTAGTGCACCTTAACGTCAAATAAATATCCGGAGCCGTTGGTTCGGAACGAAGGGACCACGAAGTCTCGCATCTCGCACGACACGAGCAAACAATCATGGTGAAACCGCCCGCTCGGCATCGTGGCCGTGGAACACGTGCAGTCACACGGCAATAACTTTAAAATTTGATTGCACCGGGCATCGGGGTAGTCTTACCCCCAAGGCACCGCGTGGTAATAGGCGCTCAACCCTTGCATCAACACCCACGTGTACGCACACGACCGCATCCACGGCGTCCCAGGGCAGCGCCACGTCGTAAATAAAAACGAAAATCGTTGACCGCCTGCCTTTCGGCTTGGTTTAAGCGTTAAACAAAGGCCCACGGTGATGTCGGCCGCCGTATCTTTGATCTCTGTTTGCCAACGCATGCATCAGCCCGCGAGATAATCGGGAATAATTATTTGTTAGATAAATACGATCCCAGCCGCCGATAGGAAGTCAAATTTATGATGGACCGCTTGCATCGCTTGTAAATGACGCGGTGGGACCAGCTCGCGCCGAATCTGCGCGATCCTCGCCTATAAAACGTTCCGCTTGTTTTAAACGCGAGGGGGCAGGCTCGATTTTTTGGACGATGGCGTTTATTGGAGAGCCTCGTATGCAGCCCTCGATCAGCGTCCGCTTGTTTATGAGACCACGGCTGGCCGCCATTTGAATTTCTAATTAATTCCAGTCTTGTTAATGATCCTCCTTGGCGAGTTCGGCTCGGCGGTTAGAAGCTGTAAGGTATGTGGCCGTGAAGGAGTGATCCAAAACAGCGTTAGGTCGATATTATTTCTCTCTTTTGGGTAACTTATGTATTTTTTGCTAGACGAGTGGTCACAGATGTTTAAAATTAAAAATATAATAATCCAACCTGAGTCTGATCTTTATTATTGCTTTCGTTGCAATTGCTCTAGCGATATTTAATTCGATCAATTCGACCAAAGCTATCAAACTACATTTCCCTCAATTCCGCGCTTCCGTCTAAGCATCATTGTCGTCATTTTCTCCATCGACAAATTTCTAATCCTGACGAACCAGGGAATATCTCTAACTACACAGTCTTCATCTTGCTCGTATATGAAATCCGCAGCGAATAAAATCTGTGCGATTAAATGATGGAAGCGTTGCATGCCGATGCTTGCGCAACGACAACTCAGCTTCGATCGAACCCTCTCCGATGGATCGTGCCTCTTTCCTCACAGACGATCTCTTCACGATCTCGTACACGATTTTCTTGCCGAGTGTAGTTCCATGGAACGCGTCCTTATCCTCGAGTACTGGTGGAAATCATGCTTTAAACGCGGATGCGATCCATTTACCTCGTGAAATGTAAAATTGCGAAACACGTGCGAGGATGCGTCTTTCTCACGGCTAGATCCTATCGAGCTACCTCATAAGTTATTGCAGCTGTTGCTAGTCTGTCCGTGTCTTAATTACAGTGTACGTACATTTACTGGTCGAGGTTTCCCATTGGACTGGCAACGTCATTTTTGTCGAACATTCGAAAAACGAGCGAGTTTTCTGGAAATCGACACGCTCTGTGGGAATGGGAGTAATAGAATTTCTTGTAAGAGAAAGATTCTAGCCATAAAAATATCATTGACTTGCTATTCAAATATTGCTGGCAAGGTAATGGGTGTTATTTTGAACGATCATGTTAAAATGAATCCTTCTGTTGAAATTATTTTATTTTATTATTCATTTCGTTGGTAGAACACGTTTATGGTTTTGCGGTAAAATGTAACGAGCATTCCATTTAGATAACGAATTGCACGGTATATTACCTCGGAGTGAAATAGATTTTATAAATCTGTTCATTTCCCGTGAACAAAGTTCCTGTTAATCCAGTGGAAGTAAAAAAAGGTATGTAATACGTAGGAATATACTTAAAATATTACATTCCGTGCGCGTGGTGCATCGGCCTCGATTTTTATTAAATTCGTATTACTCGGCGCTTGGATTGAAATCCACCTTTCATGCACGAGACCGAGCGATCGGCAAACTCGTAAAAATTCCAAACCATTAAACCACAAAAGCAACACTTCATCTCCACCCTCTTTCCTCGCGGCTTCAATCTCTCCTCGGCCAGCTGAAAACCGTCAGCGGCGCCCAAAGAAAGAAAACGAACGCGTTACTTTGCAAAACGTTTACGAGTCGAAAAACAATCCGGTCTCGTGCGAATCTTCCGAAGTTTCACGCGTCCGGGGCCCGGTGCATCGTATCGTACATCAACGTCCTGCAAGAAGGTGGGCGGACGTCGTGTCAGCGGGCTGACGCCCCGCGAAATTGAATCTAAAGGGGCAGGGGGGGGGGTGAGAGAAGGGAAGGAGGCTGGTTCCGGCGTTCCTTCCTTCGAGCCACGTTCGCTGCGGGGAGGTCGCAAATCATCACCTCGCTACGTTTACAACGTTAGATAGCCCAAGATTACGGTCGTTCGGTTTCAAGCCCGAGAAGACACCAGGAATTCTCCTCATCGTGTCTTCCCTCCCTCTTTTCGTTCCCTCCGTCACTGCCTACCACAAGGTCCAGTCCGCAGCACTGGCAACTGCTTATGGCGCCTTTCGTTGAAACCGATCCAACCTTGCCCGGTGCACGTGGAGTACCCACTTACGCGAAACAATGCGGCTGCCCCTCTTCCCTCGTCGTAATTTATCCGCCGGCGGACGACTAATGAGCCCGTGATTACAGGGACCGAGCAAGGAGGGAACTTCTTGCGCCCGTTCGTGCGTCCCCGCACGGTCTGTCGTCGCGGATCAGGCTCGCTGTTCGCCGCGGATACATATTATCAAGCGCGACGCCCACGCGCGACTCGAGATTTCATTCGCGGGTACACGCGAGCGCGCATTGTTTCGCTCGAAGCCTGTTGGGCTTGATTGAGTGCTTAACGGTGACAGGGGTCGGCCCGAGCTCGGATCATTGAAATGCCTCGCGAGTATCCTCGATGATGTTGCGTTTGCATCGCCACGGGTTGCGGGAATCTTTCACTTTGCTTTCGCAATTCTTGGGAGCTAACTGTGATCGCGCGCAGTTGAACCGGGATTTGCAGATTTCTTGGCAATGGAAACGGGAAAAATATGCTCTTTTCGTTCGTTCCATGCTGCATGAATGCGCGATTAATATCGTGGAACTACCAGTTGCATGCAGTCCTTTGCTCATTCATCCATTTGCTCCCTCAATTGCTTCGTCCCTTACGGAATCAGAATGAACATCGCGTCGTTAAGTCTACTCGATTTATATTCATTCAGAAGTTCAGCTTCATTCACATAAAACTTCAACCTTTCATGCCAACTTGCATAAATTCCTAACCCCGTTCTCCCCAGAATCTTAATATTTCGTTTACGTTCGAAGAAACGGTTGTGGTCGGTTCCTAAAACCACGTGACAATTCGCATGTGACAGGAGAAAGATTCCACTTTATATTCCACTCATTTTTATTCCTACTTGACCACGAATCTTATACGATATTCCAGTCACTGTATTTGCAACCTTTCCACGTAACGTGGTCCATCTAAATGAATTTTTTTTCAATGATTTTTTTTTTCGCGACAACTTTCCCCGTGAAGTTGCACGCGCTTCAATAATAATATTTTTCATGATCTTGCGAAGAAGAAAGTTTAAACATGTTGAGATTGTATTCGTAAGCCAGATATCGCAGTAAGAGCAATCGATGTTTCTTATCACATTCATGGAATAAATTTAGAATTGTTTAGATACTTTTTTATACATTGCAGATATACTCTTTAATAAAAGAAAATTAAATCCAACTGTAAAAATATACAAAATATATACTTGTATAAAAATGATTGCTGAAATTGCTAGTGCAAAAAATATAATACTAAATAAAATTGGGAAAGAAAAAAGAAATTTGGCCCATGAGGGGATCGAACCCGCGACCTTCGCGTTATTAGCACGACGCTCTAACCAACTGAGCTAATGGGCCGTTGTGAATGTGTGAAATATTACTGTATTTCTTGTCATTATATTAAAAAATTACTAATAAATAAATTCATTAATTAATATCGTAAATTAAACTTATTTTAACACTAGCAGCAATAGCATCAAAATACATAGAACATCATGAAATTAACAAATAAAGCAACAGATCGATTGTAGATCAAAAGCGATTCTAAAGACATGTGACATTTGTCAATGAGTAAATTCCTTTTTCAAGTTTCAGGATCAAAATTTGCAAGTGAGAATATTCAAAATGCCAGCGGAACAGGCAGTAGACATGTTAAACGACACCTTGGCAGAGATTGTTTTTAGAACAAAGAATATGCCAAGGTTCAAAAGATTGGCACGTACTACGCATTTTAATCTGAGAGAAGTTGAGGGTTAGAAACGAGAATATCACAATTTTTTCATACTTCTTATTAACCTGATTAATTTGTTAATCGACAGCTTTGTCAATTATTCATCGTAAATGCGTCAAAACACTAGGCCCTATAAACAGATTCATACTTCGCGACATATTCCATGCTGGTTTAGACTTTACAGAAAATATTCGTCACTTATTGGTCGACAAAATGTTTTCCGTTATTGACAAACGAAATGCTTTACAGGTAAATAATTTTCAGACAATGTTAAATACCGTTAGATTATTTAAATAAATCCTAGTGTACTTACACTAATTTATTGAATTACAAAAAGTTACAGTTTTCATGATACTTTTCGATGCGCTCGCTCTCAAAAACTACCCTTCTTTTTCATACTTAAAACATTTGTTTTTTCCACACACGCTATTTCTTCCACAAGTCAATCACGTCTAGGCACTTTATCCTGAACACTTTTTTATTTATACCGAAACTAAATTCAAGTCATCTATAGGTACATTTAATTTATGAAGCACTCATCGATATTCTCTTTCGCTTCAAAAATGAAGATTAATTATTATAAATTATAATTTAGATAAACCGTGATCAATGGATCGAAAGTCTATCGGTGCTTCTTCGTGGTACTTTGGACGAGAAAATTCATTTTGCTTATCAAGTATGCAACTATCTTCGTTCAGCTTCTCTCAACCTTTGTTACCCCTTTAATTAATTTTCCTACCATTCTTTCGTAATTTAATATCAGGTGTACGATAGCTTGAGAACTCACAAATTAAAAAAGGAGCATATATTTCCCATGATGCGCGGATGTTTAATTAAACTGCAAAACGATGAAAATCCAGACGAAGCCGTGAAGGTACACTTTGATAATTGAATTTTAAAAGTTTATAGGTTTCCAACAGTTCGTAGCTCATCGAGTTTCACTACGATCTCACAGGACCTGATAGATTTGTTGATAAAAAAGCTGGACGTGGATCGCGATGGCGTGATATCAGAGGAGGATTTCAAAACTGCCGTGAAAGAAAGAAATCAGCTCCTTTTAGAATGCATGGGTCCAGTATTTCCTTCGAGGAATGCTCGTCACGTGTTTCTGAGCACTTTTACAGATCGTGTAGGAAGATACTAACAATCTACAGGACTATTTTTATCGAATTCGAGAGAGTCGTCGTATGATTTTGCCAAGCACACTGTCTGTCGAGGAATGCTAACAGCATGCTCCGAAAACGGTAATAGGAGGGGAATACGTGCCAAATCAGATAGAAGAGATCCGCCTAGGCCTCGTAAACGGTTCACTAGGTTTTCGAGGTTGTCTGAACAGCATTTCTTACGATTCATCGAACGCCGAAGATTGACTTGCTCTTTCTTACAAACAATCGCTAATGGACCGCGATAATACCGCTTCCTAATCGCATCAGATGCAAACCGTGACGCAATCGTCGATAGGATGCGATCAATTGCTCAATTGAGTTTCGTGAGTGCAATTTCCAACCATCACGTGTCGTCTTATTTTTATTACAGCTTAGAAGATATAATGCAAATGCAGGTTTTTATTTGGTAAATAAAAATATTTTCTGAATGAAAACATTTTGGAATCTCCAAATATATCTAGGATATTACAACATTAATCGCTTATTATTTTCAATCCCTTTTTTTGAACAGCGCCCACATTTCGCAGCTTCTACCCGCACGTACAACAGCAACTCCCTAATTCATTCTCATATTCCCTCGACTAATACAGACGGTTAGCTGGATGGGAAACGCGACGAAATACAGATCTCTGCACGACTGGAGAGAGCAAACAAGGTGCCGCGCAAAAGCCGCAATTCTAGTCGCGTTGGTGGATGTGTTACAAAAAAACATAATGAATGTTTGAAGATCGTAGGCCGAGGGAATGGAACGATCCGCGCGTCTCAAGCAGCTATAACAACAAATTAAACGAGAAAATCTCGAGGCTTTCGTCGAAACGTCCACCCTGCCTTTAGGCTCGATCGACAAAGCGTAGGCGTATGTATGTATACACGTGTAAAACACTAACACGCACGTCACCAGACCAAGAGTTCTCCCTTTCTTTCTTTTCTTCGTCTTCTCTCCCTTCTTCTTCCTACCAAAAGGGAGAAGGTAGAACGATATTCTGTAAAGAGTATAATAACGTGCGTATGAAAGGGCAGATCCTTTGTGGGTAGCCGACCGTGTCTTGAAAGGATCCACCAGGATCTGCACCATGGCACGGAACACGGTGAAGGGAAGATCGTTCGAGATCGAGAGTTAGGGCACCAGCTGAGAAAACATGCCCGTAGCGTGTCGACAGCGAAACGTTCGTATTTGTGTCGGTCTGGATGCACTACGTGTCCAAGTAGAGGGAAGATAGTGGTAGTCCAGGATGTTCGTAAATTCGTAGGTCGCCAACGCGGAAAGTGGCCACGTGCATTGCTCTTCCCTTTTCTGTACGTAGTTGTGTGGCAGAGTCTGCAGTTCTATAGAATATAGTCAATTGTGAGAGAAATAGTAAAAGTTGCTTTGAATGTATTTCCCTTGCCACTGTCGTCATCAAGTTTTAACTCTTGGCAAATTACACCATTTTGCGTCACGTCATATGAATGATTTCACTTCGAGTAATCTTTAAATTATAATTATTTTCATTTGACAATAAAATATTTATACAATTGGAGATCCTTTATTTTTTTTATTAATATATTTTAATTACTAAAATAAAACATAATTTTCTAGACCGACTTTTTCATTTAACTTTATTGAAATAATTAAATAATTTATTATAGTAGTCACATAAATGATAGTGATAAAATAATTGATAACATTAATAATATCAAAAAATATTAAACCCATAATTAATATTTATAAAGAATATATAAATATAATAATTAATATGATTTATATAAATTATTATTTACAAAGAATTCTAAACTTGAACCACATAAGACTTGACATAAAATTAATTTTTTGTACCTACCTTTATTATTTCTTAATCTTGATTGATAGAGATGTAATATTAGAAAATTTCTAATTGTATGAAATTTCGCGCGCGGAATCCCCACCAATTAGAAATTTTCGAAGCGAAACTTGATGTGTGGCGCCATTCAGGTGTCAAAACTCATACCAATAAGACGTATCGTTTCGCTCGTGCTGCATAATATAACCTAAGATAACCTATTAGCCGGACGTCACTTTCACTACTATTTTGTTACTCTGTATATATTGTTATTAGCTTCGTTTTATTAATACGTAATTAGTTAACACTTTACTGAACATTATTGTAATAAAATCAAACTATCATCTTTCATCGATTCTTTCCGTGTCAGAATTACCGATATTTTTACTGCCGCCAAAGTATGTACAATTGTTATTTTATATTATATAATATAATTGGTATTAGTTTCGCTTGTTTTTGTTTTAAAATCTTGATTTTCTTACGCACAGATCACTGTTCAATTGCGGTTACTAATAAACTACTTGTAGCTTGGAGAACGAAACCGGAAGTTTGACGTATGGATGACGTCATAATGATTGACTGATGATTTTTCACGCAGATTCAGGTAAAATTTATTGTAATAAACTTATTGTAATAAATTCAGATGTTTGATATAACTTTTTATTTGACGATTCGTAATAGTTGGTATATTTTTACTTTTATACTTTAGAATTGTTATAAAAATTATATTATGTTACATAGTTAAGTCATGATTTACGTATTAAAGATTTGAAAAATATTTGACTATATTTTGATCACAGTAGTGCCTTCAGTTCAGGAACATTGACAAGTGAGAAAGCAGATACGTTTTGAAGTAAGATTTATGCAATTTCCTTGTTGTGTTTTACATTTTCAAGTATATTTAGTCGAAATTTACACTTCTTGGAAATATTTTCGAACATTAATATTTTTCTCCTTTTCTTTCATTACTGTCTAATTTAGTTTTGTTTTCATTTTGATTGCGGGCAATGCGATCGGTAGAGTCAGTGTTTGCTGCGTAGTAATTTTTTAAATGTTTTTTAGACTACAATAGCTCAGATTAAATTACATAATCATTAATTATTATAACAATATACGCGAAATTAGAATCAGTGTTTGTTCGCCGATTATTTAAGCGGACGCGTTAATATTTTTTTTTTTGTATTTTTGTTTAAATTCGTTTACTGTATTAAAGTCAGTGTTTTGCGCAAGAGGATATAACCTATCGAGGATTGAAATAATATGTAAGTATCTTTGTGTATATATTATATTTTAATTAATTCTATTGTAAGAATGAATTATAACATTTTACATTTTGTTAAAGGTTGCTCACAACTTCTACTTCATTCTATATTCTAGAGAGGAACCAAGGATATTCTAAAATCAAAAATGTAAATATTTCATCAGTGTACCTCAGTTAATTTTATATTAAGAACATATTATAATATTATACATTTTAAAGGTTATTCATAGCTTTCACTTCTACCTCTCCTCTTGACATAATCTAACTGTGATTCAAGAGCCACAGATGTAAGTATATTACATATTAATTTTTATATTTTACTTTGAAAAGTTTTTATTCTTCTATTAAATTTTGTATTGTCACAAGTTTTTCAATCATTGTGCTTTTAGAAACAAATTAATGATATTTTGTGTTTGTTACAGATTTTTCATAGTCTTCAGTTTCACAATGGGAGTTTAGAATTCCTGGTTCCCTGTAACATCAGTAACAACATTCTAATTGTGAGTCGCATGCATTTTTATTCCTCCAGTCATTCAATCATGCCATAGGATGAAAGGTCTAATTTGGTATGGATGACTGGTTGTATTATATAATGTAGAATTTTTGACGAGGAGTGGCATTTTCTTTGCATGTTTTTTTATGCATTATAAAATGATAATGTGTTAGCGTATTGACATTTTCTGCATATATTTATGTGATTAGAATTAGTTTCTATTATTCTATTCTCTATAAATTGAAATATGTAATGCATTAATTCAAAACATCAATTTATGAAAATATCTATTAAATAATTCTAATAAATTATATCGTTAATCTTACTGTAAATTATAACGTTTCTATGCTGTAACTGATAATTGTTTTAGAAGTTATATATATTTTTTATCAGTTATTAATATTTCACATATAGCTGTAAATACAAATGTATTTTAATCACATCTCGCATAATGGTCGCTAACCATTGCCAGTCGCATTCAGGAAAATGAAAATTTATGTAAATTAAAGCGTGAAAGTTCTGTGCTAAACTCCGGTGTTGGAAATGTTTCGAAATTTTGAGAGATAAGTCAGATATTCTGTCGAGCAAACGGTAGCAGCTTTTATCTAATTAAAGGGGGAAGTAACATTTAGAGTGTTTCCACAATATAATATTTATCCACAAAATATTTATCCCTGTTTGAGGAAAATGCACGATATCTAAGTAAACCATAACAGAAACTCACATTCTGGGCACGGTGAAATCACGACTTATGATATATTGCAACATGATCTCGAGGATAGAGACTATTTCGCGACCACGGAAGCGTTTCTGCCTGGGACCGGAATAAATTACAATCAACGTCGGATGCGCGGAATAACCGAGATTTCTATGGAATATCCTTTCCACGAGGTGCACGCGCTGCACGATTCATTGCGCACGTTCGCGCTATTCATAAGATACCGTCTACGCTACAGGAATTAACCGTGTACATATTAGGAAACTTCCAGAGCGTGCTGGACTAGAACGTAGTCAACTGCTCCGTTCGACTTTTAGTACCGTGTTTGACTACACGTTTTATCATAATTAAGAACTGCGAGGATGGCACGAAGCAAATATATCGGTTAGCGTTAACTTGTAAACTTTAAAGTCAAGTCGATCGTAATTTAATCTCAATTGCTAGGATTATATAATTACGCAATTACATAATTACACAGAGCACGTTATTTTGTAATCTTCAGTAAAATACCTTGATAGAATTTCACTCACGTAACCAAAAGAATTTCTTCTGCTCACTGCTGTTCCAAATAAGAAAAAATCGGCGTGTAATTATACGGAATCTCCTCTTTTTTTATGATTGAAAGTATTGATCAGAGGATGGAAGCCGGAAAGATTGATCGAGGCAGAGCATAAATTATAATCAGACTCTGTTACGCGGGATGGCTGTGATTTGGACGAGACGTGATGAAACGACGACCGATTCGATTTGCGTGATCCACGCCCACATATCAAAGGGATGCCGGCATCGTGGTCCACGGCAAAGGATTACGAGAATATCCTGCGAGCCTTTTCCCTTAGCGATAAATCCAGCCTGATGAATTCGTGAGGGGGCACGATCCACGTGAAATTCAATGCGTAGACTGTATTCACGCGTGCATATGCGACCTGAGGGAGGGTTTAGAAAAGGTGAAAAGTGAGGCAGGGGAAATAAAAATGTCCTGCTTCTTGTTTGGCCTTCGAAACGGGAAATTAATTATTTTGGCTAGGCGTTTGAAACGTTTTTTAAGATGACTTATTTATCGAGTTCAGATTTTCTATTTCTTCATCGTAGAACTTGCGACTTAAAAATCGGTCCTGCCGCGAATTCTGCAGGACTCGCGACCGCTTAATCACGTTAATCATTCGTGGTATCGTGGCAGAGACACCTAGGTGGGATCAACGGGGCGTGATCGAGTAAACTGATAAATCAAACGTCCAGAAATTTACGATTGGCCACGTATGTGTATAAACGCGGGCGATATGCATCGTCAACCAGACGAAAGGGCCGGTGGACGCGCGACCAATAAATTCAATTAACGGATAGGCGAGAGCGGGGGCCATGAACCGTCCGATGGTTGACCGGATCGTTCGGTCGTCTAGCCGGAAAAATCTCAGTCAAGCTTTCGGTCGCCGCGTGTACGTGAGATCCATAAATATCGATGCAGCCGTTCTGCTCTAACCGAGCCGCGGTGGCTTGCGCAACGTTTCGCGCGCGGAATGTTCAATGAAGCGTGCAGATGCGCGTACCACCGGTCCCGAGGGAGGAACGAGTCTGTCGAACGAGGGAGTCGGTGCTGCTACTCGGTGCTGTTCGAGAGAAGGGACTCGAAAAACGACGAGGTCACCCGCTCGAACACGACGCCGCGTTGTCGAAACAGCGGGATCTGCTCGGCTGACACGGCTGCCGGACAAATGGATTCAGGAAGATTCCGCTAACGAATCCGCTGATTTATCGCGGCGGGCCCGTTTCCTTGGTAGACCGTCAGTTTCCACGTACAGAGAGATCGGGGAGCAAGAATTATGGCCCACGGAAATACGAGAGCGATTTGTTTCTGGTGGGACGGATGGTAAATACGGGTTTGGAACGGCCGGATTGGGAACAATGTTGAGGATTGTTGCGGGATTAGGCGGTGATGAGTGTTTGCTGATAGAGAGACGGAATGAAGGAGTGGTTTGTTGCTACTGTTGCGGGATAAAATGGATCACAGCCCGTTTCCTAGATTCATTTCCCCGATATTTTGTGGCTTCTCTCATCCATTTTTTTCTTTTTTTTTTTTTTGGTACTTTTTGCTTTTAAATGCCTGTGGTATCGATTTCTTGTAAACGACTATTCGATATTAGGAATTTTCGACGCGCTCGCAGATTGGTTTCGATACTGCCTGCATATCTGAAAGACTACGTCACATAGTTCGTCAAATTCAACAGCGTAATAATTTGCTCAATTCTACACACGTGTAAAATATTCTGCAACACGCTGTCTATCGTTAACGAACCGAGACATACCACTGGGATCTTCATCCCAACCGTCGCAACACTCCCAAGAACACGTGTCTTTAAGTACCAAAAACTGTTGCTCCAACCTTTTAACAAATTAGCAAAAAACAGGAACGCGAAAATCTCTCGTAAACGTCCCCGTCTCGAAAATTGTAACGTGCTAGTTCGGAGACGATTGTAAGAAGAGGGAGTTTCTCATTTCGCGTGGCACGGAGTTAATTAGCTTGGCGAAACGGGATGAAGAGGACGTCAGACAGGGACGATAGGATCTTTTGAAAGGCGTGCTCCGGGTAACGCCCGCGACTTGCCACGCGACTAGACAGATTTCCGAGAGAAAGAGGAGAAACTGCCTGTCTCGCGTGGCCTCGTCTCGTTGTACGAAACACGCGCCGTGACGGACGATCACGTTGTATCATCCCGCGTCACTCCAACTGTTTGTTTCTGCGTTGGCCAGATTCAATTTTCTTCGGGCCACCTCACAAAATCGAGCCGATCACCGAAATTCGCGCGCCACTGCTCGCATTTCCGCACCGTTGGGCGGTCTCCGCTCGAATTGACTCATCGCGATATTGTTTGTGACAGAATGTACGTTTTTTAAAGAATAGACGTTTCCTGAATAGTATTCATTTAAATCGGCGTGTCAGACAGCAGTACGAGTTCGAAAATCGCTGTTTTCGTTTAATACCAATACGCACGAATTCTTTCTGTAAATTCTTGTACAATGAGCTTCGTAAATGGACGAAGGTTAAATTCTCAGCTGAGCAATTCCATTTTTTGCTCGTCGAAATACGTGTATGCCACTGCTTGGACGTTAGCTGGATGATAACAAATTGTCGTTGAAAGAGCTGTGTGAAAAATGAACTAATTTGGATGAAATATTGAACGCGGCTCGAGCTGCGAAAGAGATAACGGGACTTGAGGGAACGCGTTCTGGAAGTACGCACCTTTCGAACGAGTGTACGTTCAATATTTTGACTCAGCTACTGTGAAATTGCATCACGTTGGTAGATCAGAATGAATAATCACGAATGAGCCTTCCGTTTTCACTTGAATATAAAAGAAATATATAAAAGAAAATATAAAAGAAATTCTTCTGAAGAATTTCCACGAATCTCTCCGAAACTCCATCATCTCGGTAACGACACGTTCCTAATTAATTATCCGGTGCAAATGAACGGAACGTTGGTCCTTTGCTGCGCCAAGGGTCCCATCAAGATAGCCACGGATATTTTCCTCCAAGTATTTATCAAATCCGACCGCTCGCATAAAGGAAGATTAATAACGGGCTGAATAAAAGACGCGTAAAAAATGGACGACCGATATCGTGGCGCTTTATTGAACGCTCACCCTTGAGATTCGATCGGCGTCCGCAGATAACCAGGCCAATTAATGAACGCGAGAAAGAGGAACGCGCGAGATTCGCCTTCGATACACAAAGGCTGGCCAGGAGCAGCCTGTTCGGAGAAGGCGCGCAAAACTTTCGAGACAAGCAGCGTGAGATAATGGCGGAGGCAACGCCGGGATTCTTGGCCGAGGATCGGGCCATCGCCATAAACTATCTGTAGGTGTCGAGTTTGTCACGGTCATGCGAGAACCGAGTTTTCAAAACAGGATTAGGCGTCGGCCGGATCTCAGCGCCGTATCTCTCCGGTCTGCAAAACGTGCATCGTCCATTTTTCAGCGACATCCTCTCCTCTCTCTTTCTCTCGTCGTTCCCTTCTCCTCCTTTTTTTCTTCTTTTTCTTCGTTCTACTCTCCTCGCCACCGACTCGTAGCCGTG